TAGTATGCGCATATTGTGTTCATACTATTTTTCCGTTTTTAGGGTACCGTGCCATTATTGCTGGTTATTGTTATTGTTTTTCCATCTATTTTCTAGCTCTTACGATGCTGGTAATATCTTTCTGGCTCGTCTTCTTGAGCCGGGGGTCTATGGGAAACAAACTCTGAATACACACTATCCTCCCTAGACTACACTTGTGGGATTTTACAGGGTTGTTGTTGTATTCAGTATGCACATATCAACAACTAATTGATGGTCATTTTTAACAAGGGTTCACTTGAAAAGAACGAAATTTGTGGAATATGACCAAACAATGCCTAGGCGTTTGAATACTATTTGGTTGAAGTTGATATAAAACAGTTTGTGGAACAAAATATTTTTCAAATATTTCAAATATTGTTTATGTTATCGTCTCACTACATCATTCTTGTGTAACTTCAAATTAGGGCGGATAGTTTCTATTTGTTTCTTTTTTTTTTCTCTCAAATAAATCTCTTTTCTATAATATTATTCACTGTTCAACTTTCACACATAAAACAATACTAACTTTTTCTTAGAGACAACTAAAGTAATCTATCTACATTAAAAGCACGAATGCCCTTAGTGAAATGTCGTTTACCTTTTAAAAATACACTTTACATTGGATAAAACTGTAAAATCAAAATCCTAATATTTAGGAGTTCTAAATCAAAAAAGTTAGTGCTTGATATCTTCTCCTAATAAGGATATAAAATATTAAGACACTAAAAGAATACAAAAAAGTAGGAGAAAAGTTTCTTTTCCAATAAGGAGACTCCACGATGTATTTTTTTAGAAGCTTGGTTGTTAAATCTATTTGTTTCTATTCTTAAAATTTAATACGGCATTAGGTTTTAAAATAGTAATTATTGTTGGAGAAAACAGGTAGAAGCTTTGTTGTTAAATCTGTTTGTTTCTATTCTTAAAATTTAATACGACATTAGGTTTTAAAATGTAGTAATTATTGTTGGATAATTACATGAATTATTAATTTGTTATAAAAAAATTAATTACCATAATTAATCTACAGAAGTACCTAAATTATTAATTTTTTGGTAAAAAAGAAACTAATATTATTACTAAGAAATTTTATTATATAACTCGATTTTACAAAATAGGAATTAGTTACAAAATTCATCTTGTATAGCTAATAAGATATTCTTATAACATGTCACTAATTCTATCACTGAATATGAATTTTTATTATATAGCTATATAATTGGTCCATCACTATTTTTATTTTTATTTTTTGTAGTTGACATGTCTATAATAAGTACTTAGACGATCATTTTGATAAGAAATTAAAACAAAAAAAGGGATACATAATAGAACACTGATCTTTCAAGATTATTAATGTTTGGCTATAATTATATATTTTTAGTTCATTACTTACCTTACATTTTGGGAATTTAATGCTAAACTATATTATATTTGTGCTTAATTGAGTTTATTTTATATGTAGATACGTTGAAAACAAAATTGAGAGCAAAGTAGAGATTTTATGTGTAATTTATACACTACAAGAATGAAGTTGTGATTATTTATTTGGGGGACAAAAGAAATCAAAAGAAAATTGAAAGAAGAAAGGCAAGAAACGAGAAAGAGACAAGAAATTGAAAAGTGAGTTGAACAAATTGAAACAAAACAGAATTTTAAACGAAGCAGCATCAGGCATGGCGAAGGATTTTGCTCGCGGAGGATTCTGCGGCGCACAGTGGAAAGCGAGCTGAAGAGCTTGCGCCGCCAGGGGTATAGCGAGAAGAACCACGCGTTAGAGCTCGCGCCGGCGAGCATGTTCTGTATTTTTAAAGTTTATTTTATCTCCTATTTAGTTTTGAATTTATTTATTTTATTTGGGTATTTTTCCTACACATATAAATAGTCATTAAATATCAATTTTGAGAGGGATGAGACCGGGGGATTGGACCTAAGGAGGCAAGAACATACTAGGAGCAAGGCGGGGAATTCTTCTACGAGTTTTTCACTTCCTTCTTCCTATTTTTATTATTGGTTATGAATTCTAGTATTGTAGTTTTGCATACTATTATGAATAGCTAATTTGTTATCTAGAGTTTTGATAAAACCTTTTGTAGGATAAATTCTTGTTATGTTTTTATATAATTGAGTCCTTGGATTTCTCTACTTGTTCAACTACGTGTTTATTGTTGTTGATTGAATGGCCATCAATTGACTGTGCCTATTTAGTATGTATTGCTTGAAAACTGATATATATTTAGGTAGTTGTTGAACAACATCACTCCTAACGTATGTGAGAAATCAATACGAAGGGTTTAAATGCGGGATTAGGATTAACGAAACCTTGGTGCGATCTTAGTGAGCAGTAAACTAGTGCCAACTAGCATAGTTCGGAAGAATATGTCTAGTAAATTGTGGTAGTTGCTTGGAAGAGAATTATGACACCCGAAGTACTCACGATCGGTAGAAAATACTTAGGCAAAATTATAGAAGGTATAGCGGGAAGGATTCCGACAATTGGAAAAATCATAACTCTAGACCTCCTTAGTCTTGTCTCAAATTTCATCCTTGTTAGTGATAATTTTATTACTTTATAATAGTTGTTAGTTAATTAGTTAGAAATAAATATTATAATCTCTATAATTAGAAAATTGTTTGGACTTGTGTTTCTTAGCAATATTGAACAGTTGTAGCTAAACCTTAATTCTTTGTCGGATTCGACTCCGGACTTGTAAATCAGATTATATTTGCAACGACTGCTTAGTCCTTTTTATAAGGCATAGTTGGGCGTAATCAATTATCTTGGTTGTTTTCATGCTTAGCCATGTCATTCGCTACTTTTGACTAAATAGGATCAATATTCATTTTCAAGAGCTTATATTTTTTTAAAAAATTATTTTCAAAATTTTATATGTTTTTTTAATTTTATACACATCTATATTAAAAGCACGAATATTCTTAACGAAATATCGTTCGTCTTTTTTTACCCTTTTGTTAATGTACTCTATAATAGATAAAAAAGTAATTACAAATAAGTTATTTTTTCGAAACAAATAGAGCCATACGATAAAACAAATTACGAAGTAGGAAACACCTTCTTTAATTAGTATATCATTAATAATCATACAAATAGTGTAAAGCCAAAATTTTCGTAGGTTAAAAAGGAAAACGAATAAGACAATAAGAGACCCATTAATAATATCATTAGTTAATATCTTATTCCCTCCGGTCACTTTTACTTGGTACGTTTTGACTTTTCACGTCCCTTAAAAAATAATAAATAAAGTGTATAATTTACCATGTTACCCATAATAATTGATGCATATTTTATTGGATTTGAGAAAATGATTTGAAATGGTAATAAATATTGTGGGTAAAACAAGAAAAAATTTATTGTCTTCTCTTGATATGCGTAAAGTGCCAAGTAAAAGTGAACATCTATTTTTAGTATACATGCCAAGTAAAAGTGACCAGAGGGAGTATTAAATAGGTCATATTTTCTGTAATTAAAAAGGAAAGTAACTATTTTGAGTAAACTTTCTAACTCTTAGATTGTTTTGGTAGTAATAAAAGTTCAAGATTTTTGTAGTGATAAAACTTCTTGTGGTTTTCAAGTTCGTAATCACAAGTCAAGTTAAATAATGTTCTTGTAGTTTTTTATAACTATTATATTCTATTATCACTTTTTTTTTGTTTATTGAATTAGCTATATATGATCAATAAAATTATTATTTTTAAGAACTCATAATTTTTTCTTTAACTTTTATTTTATAACTCAAACGTAATTTGTTAATATAGTATTAATATAATTTTTTTTAAAAAAATATTTATTAAGACAGAATAGTCGCGCGTATCTTAATATTTAATATTAGTATAGAAAATATCTTAAAAGTCATACCAAAATATTTACAAAGTTGGAAACTGAGCAAAACATAAAGATGAGCAGCCGTCGGTTGTGGTATGTTGACATTATGACTCCAGAAGAGGATTCTAGAACCTGCACGTGGACCCCACTCTTAAATATGAGTACAAATAGCATTTTTATACGTTGCGTAGGAATAGTAATATATTTATTGTTTTCCCCTTCGTCCAAACTATTGGCTCAAATACCTAATCCAAGCTCTGCAAATCTCCGTTTACACCTAATTCAATCAATCGCCTCACATCGTGTAGGTACTTTTTCTAACCCTAAATCTTCATGCTTCAGTAATTTCATTTGTCTAACATAGATCTAGTGGGTTATCTCATGAATAATCCATTAGATTTACTTTTAGCTGGGGTTCAATATGATTTCTACTTTAATTGAATTTGGAGATCTATGGTTTATGATGAAAGAATTTGTATTAATATTTGGTTAGGGCTTGGATTTGAAGGTATACGAGCTAATCTATGGCGTCGAAGCGTATATTGAAGGAGCTCAAGGATTTGCAGAAGGATCCTCCGACATCATGCAGCGCTGGTATGTTAGCTCAGCTTTTTCTTCCATTGTTCATTCGGTTTATGCGTTTTCTTAGCTTATGTGCTAGTTTTTTTTAGCTAAAGGACTTGATACTGTAAGTCCCTGTGATTGAATTTCTGCTGCTTTTGTGAGGCTAATGCTGCAAAGTATAGAACTTGTAGCAGAAGAACAACTGTTAGTAATTTGCTGTAGCTATTTGCTGTTTCTCTATTTGATTTAAATGTTTGTTTTCCATAACATTGGTGGCATTAGCCCCGAACTCCAAAGTGGTCGAGGAGTTGGAGTAATGATCTCGGGAACCAAGGTTCAAAGCATAGTAGAGGCGAATTAGGTGAATTTTTTCTGGTCTTGGATTCCTCGTTTAGGTTCATCGTACGTTTATTGTGGGCTTAGCCATTAAACTATGCCTGAAAGGTGATCTCTCTTCCTTATTGAAAAAGATCATATACCTAAGCCTTGGTGAGAGAGCCATCTCCTACATGTGCTGGTAGGTGCGCGTGAGCTGGCTTCGGTACCACTTTCTTTTAAAAAAGAATACTAGTGGCGTTATTAATTGATTGATGCATATTTGGTTGTATTCAGTGTTATCAAAGGCGAAAAGTGCAAAAAAGCTCTTGGGTATGTTGGGGCTTTAAGCGCAAAGCGCAAATAAAGCATGGGCTTTAACGAAGAAAGGCGCAAATGGAGAAAAACTATAAATATTTATGTGTAGTCCAAAACTAATATCTATAAGTATGAATACTAAATATATGGACTAAGAAATTGAAGAAAAATTACAATAAAGTGAAATATCAATTGTTTAATGTGGCCTCTTCAGGATTACGCTCATTGGCAAGGAAAATTATGCCTTAGAGCTTTGATGACAACGGTGAAGCGCACACTAAGCGAGGCGAAGCGCTCAATATGTTTTGAGCCTCGCTTCAGGGCTTAAGCACGCCTTTGATAACACTGGTTGTATTACATCTTTATTTTTATTTATGTCACATTTTTCTAAATGATGGTGGTGTCGAGCCAACTTATGCACACCCCAACTAATCCAGCAAGTGGCATGTTACGGGCCTGTGTGTATTGCATCTTTATATTGGATTCCCTTTCTCACTTCTGAGAATTAAAGGTCAAGACATAGCACTGACGATTCCGTGTGATTACTTTTAGATGCGTAAAATGCTTCTGGAGTAAATAAATTTATAATTATCAATCAGAATTCCTGTGTCGTTCTTCTCTTTTCCTATGTGCTGTCATTTGTCACGCAAGAAATTGTGGTTTCCTTATGATTTAGTATAGGCCTTAAGTTGCTGAGTGCAACTATATGTTTGTTAGTGTGGGTGCTTAATTGCAGGGCTGTTATGTTGACATTAAGTAGCATACTTCGTCTAATACAGGTCCAGTGGCTGAGGATATGTTCCATTGGCAAGCTACGATCATGGGGCCCACGGATAGCCCTTATGCAGGAGGTGTATTTTTGGTTTCAATTCATTTCCCTCCTGATTATCCTTTCAAGCCTCCAAAGGTAAGCCTATGCTCCAGAGTGTCTATATCTCTGTGTGTTCCTTTACATCCACTGTTGGTTTAAACTAGTGAGCATCATTTCGCATGAATTTCTTCAAATATAAATGCTTTATGTTGTAGGTACTTAAGATAGTAAATTTTCTTCTTCTAAAAATAAGCCAAAATTTTCATGGATGCACAACCTCAAAATTGGCCGTGTTAGTGTGTAATGATAGCATTGACTGATATCATTCTTGATTATTTCCTAAACTATTCAAATAAATAATTTATTAATAAGGCCCGTAAAAAATGAAAATACAAAGGTCATTTTACCGCTCGTACCTTGCCTCAGTCCATGCTCTATATTTTCCCATTTTTTATGGTCACATAAAGCCTTCAAAATCATTGCCTACTTCACCTTCTTTGGTACATTAGCATGTTTACAGACCATAGAGATAAGTCCACAGGCCTACCGCCTACATGGCGGACTATACTCAGAGTTCATAGACAACTCCATTTCCCTATGGAAAAATTCAGCAAGTCGTAGATGGTTGTTACTCGCCTCTTCATATCCTTGTGATCATCCCTCCACTACTTGAGATGACATTTGAAGCTTTTTGTTGAGAAGTTTATCTTCCTGCATTACTCGAGGATACATGACAGAAGGAACTCTCACCTCTCTTATGTTCGGGTGCTAGGGTGAGCTGGTTCTTCAGGGCGATGTTCAAGATTATAGCTCAGTAATCATGGGCATTAACAGTTTTTGTCCAGTTTATTTGTACCGCACCTATAAATACGCTGGTTTATTGGAGGGCTGACATTTGTTTGCTGCTAGAGTAAAGTTTACCTTTACGATGGTTCTGTATTTTCTTGGATGTTAAGGATTTCAATTGTTGCAGTACACTGGAATTGTGCACAATATGATTTCTTCCCTGCTTATTCTGAGAATTTGATTAATAGTTATGTGTTGAGTTCTACGGTGATGACGCAAGGTTTATTGGAGGGCTGACAGTTGTTTGCTGCTAGAGTAAAGTTTACCTTTACGATGGTTCTGTATTTTCTTGGATGTTAAGGATTTCAATTGTTGCAGTACACTGGAATTGTGCACAATATGATTTCTTCCCTGCTTATTCTGAGAATTTGATTAATAGTTATGTGTTGAGTTCTACGGTGATGACGCAAGGTTGATCTTCTTATTGTTTCAGGTTGCATTTAGAACTAAGGTTTTCCACCCCAACATCAATAGCAATGGGAGTATATGTTTGGATATTCTTAAAGAGCAGTGGAGTCCAGCTTTGACCATATCTAAGGTTTGGATCTTGATCTTTGGCTATGTCCAATTAAATGTTGTTTTTCTGGTCTTGGATTGCTATATGAAAATTAGTCTAGCCCGTAGACTAAATTTAACAAAATGATGTTGGTGGTTCATGATACTGTTTTGTGGCGAATGGTCCATGTTTTCTGTGTCTTGATTGTTTAGACCTGTTGCGCCTTGATCTCTTCTCTTTTTATAAAGAAAGATTAACTAATTCGAGCCATTGGATTCATGGCTTAGAGTAGGCTAAATAATCCTTCTTGAAGCGGTTACTGGTGTACTATCCTTTGACCAATACCCATGACTAATGGAGTGATCTTATATGTTTTGTTATCTTTGCCTTCGTTCAGTGTCTTGTATTTTCACATTCCTACCAAACTATCCAAAATGTGATGAAAACCCGTTTACATACCAAGTCACCAGCAAACTATCTGGAAAAATGGCGACAAAGAGCTTGGCTGGTTTTCTTTCTTGTTTTTCAGTTGTCTTTGCGATTTGAAGGGCCTTACTGGCCTATTTGTGTTTTCAGGTCCTGTTGTCCATCTGTTCTCTGTTGACAGATCCAAATCCAGACGATCCACTTGTACCAGAAATTGCTCATATGTACAAGACTGACAGGGCCAAGTACGAGGCCACTGCTCGTAGCTGGACACAGAAATATTCTATGGGATGATGGGGAAAGTGTTCTCGGACGTGTCTGAGATACTTTTAATTGCAATGACTTCATTTTGCTTTCTTTCGTAAGTGCAATGTCTTTGTGCTTGGATGAAAGTAAAATGTTGGTAAGGAATTCTGTTTACTTCTATTCTCCATTCATGTCAGGTTGCCAAGAAGACCGAGATCTTTCAATATGTGAATATGTCTATTTGATGAATTTAATGAGGGGAGAACCTAAAATGTAATTTTACTTTTGCTCCTTTCCTAAGTTTTGTCAATTTGACCGACCTTGTATGGTGCTTTTGAGGGGGAAAATTTCAGTGATCAAACCCTAAGTCTCCTCTGTATGAGATCACATTTCAGTGTTCTGTGATGTTGTAAGTCGTGCAAAGCAGATTTTTCGGAAATCAGTGTAGGGAAACGTTTCCCTACTAAAGTGGGAGGTCAGTGTTATCAATCTCTTCTCTGGGATAAGTTCTTTGTATTTGGTCTTAAAATTTGACTTTTTCTTGCATGTGTATTGTGCCGAGATATCAGACTCTTCAAGGCTTTTTTCTTGTTCATGTCGATTTATGACGGCTGCAAGAAGGGGCCTAAGTGCTGATGTTTCAGTAAGCTAATTAATGTGTATGGTTGAACAGATGATTCTCACTTGTTGGTGACTGTCTAATGTGTTGAAGCCAAATGCACTCTGGGGTCTCATTGTCTTAACTCTTGGGAATCGATACTGATGAAATTGTGCTACCTTTCCTTTCCTATCCCTCCATTTCGTGAAGGGTTGTTACATGATAAGCAGTGTGTCGATAAGCCAAAAATATGCAGAATAGCTTTTAGTTTTTTTCATTTTTCAGATTTTTCCTACCTCGGCGAAATGAATTGGAAGAGTATATTGTTCTTTGTGGAAAGATGAGGGTATAGCCATACTAAGTTAAACTTTTGTAGTTCAACTTGTGTGGTCATATTTGTCTGCTTGCCAAAAATATGTGTGAGAATTGAGTCACTATCGAGGAGGGCCAAATGAATATTGGAGCAATTAGGAAGCTCCATATGCTGTAGTTGAGTTGAAATTGGAAGGGGGTATGCTGATTAGTGCTAGAGCGGGTTAAGAAAGAAAACTAAATGTGCAAATGATTGTCGCTTGGTTTACAAGCAAACAAGTCTTCCGCCTGTAGATTCACGTGCCATGCTAATCAGGTCTTTCTTCACTTATCTTGTTCTTGTCAGACGTTTTACTGTCTTGGGTTGCCTACTTGCCTTTTCTGCTCCCATGGCATTTGCTTGTAGTATCTCTTGTTCATTTTGGGATCTCTCAATAAGAGAAGCAAAACATTTGATAATATGCTGACAAATTTTTTCACGTGCCTTGTATTTGTAGTAAGCAAACAATGTGTGGAAACTTCACAGTAGTTCCCTCCTATTTCTCTCATGCTTCCCATGAGAGCCTGCGCGTGACTGATAAAATTGCTGTCATGTGATCAAGAAGTCACGGGTTCGAACTGTGGAAACAATCTCTTACAGAAATGCAGTGTAAGGTTGCGTACAATAGGCTTTTGTGTTCCGGCTTTTTCTCGTACCCCGCATATAGCGGGAGCTTAGTGCACCGGACTGTCTTTTTCATGGGGACTGAGATCAGATTTCATTATAGTTATACAAAAGGTAGGACCCTAACTCATTAATCATTATAGCTTCTTAAAACCTCAGAGTACGTCGAACTCGGAGACTGGAGGCTTCCTGGCAAGTTCCTTTTCGAATTAATTAAAACGGTGCAAAGTTGGGTAATTGGTAAAAAGTGAAATCCAAGGCCATAGACTTTCTTCTTTTTATCTTTTTTATTTTAATTCACCATAGACTTGCTGCTTAGTATAATAGGCGTACAAGGACAGAGAAGAAAGTCGGGGTTGCTGGGTGTGGGGCGGGGGCGTTTGACATGTCCAAAATCACCAGCTGTAAAGAAGATCCTTCACCTATTTAGTCCCCACACTGCATTTACTCCATTTGTACCGAACTTCTCTACTGTAGTACGAAATTTTCTTGAGAATATTAGACTTATAGTGTATAAAATTTTTACATTGTTAGTTTAAGTTGGTCTATAAAAATAACTTCTTATAATAAATTTGATATGGTAATTTGAAGGGGGAAAAAAAAATAGATATGCACTATATCCAATTGAATTGTATTCCATTGTTTGGTTCAAAACAAAGTTAGAATTATAATCTCAACTTTTATATGGGTAAATAATACTAAGATTTTATTAGCTAATATCAATAGTCAAACTGTAGAGAAATGCAATCTCGAATCAACTATCGGGATTCATATCCTAATTCTGGTAACCAAATCCACATTTTATTGTATTAGAACACAAATGCAAATTTTGTTGTGCTCTCTTTGTAATATCTCAGTGTGGGATCGGATCCGATTCGGGCCCCCAAACTGGTACGTCTGTGAATCTGCATGAGATTTGTGGCATTTCAGAGCTGTATACTACCCAATAAATACTCCATACACTATATTTGAGTGGAGAGCAGGCTCCTATCTTCTCTGTTTAGACCTCCTTTCTCTCACCCTCTTACTTGTTTTGGTCCATGTTGCAGACTCGTGATCTTAAAAGGAAATCTTTCATCTTTGGACTACAGAAAACTGAGAGGTATTGCTGCTTATTTCAAAGGCGGATCTAGAATTTTAATTTTATGAGTTTAATATTTAAACTTATGGGTTCATATCTACTATTTATTATAATTTTAGTAATTTTTTATACATAATTAATTTATGTTCTGCATTAAAAATACTGATTCAGTTGAACCCCGATAGTTGTATGGTGCATCCGCTTATTTCCCGCCAAAACAACAAAGAAACCTCTCTTTTTTCCACGCTACAATCCAACTTGTTCGTCAAATCATTCTATTTATAGCGCTGCAACTTTTCCACTTTACTACTCCATTTAAATAGTGGTTACTATTCACTCCCTAAAAGTCTAAAAAAAACCCTATAAATTCATTCCCTCTTTGTCACAAAAATTACTCTTTTTGCTGCTACTAATTTCATCTTCCAACCAGTTCTTGATCTCTCTTTAATCTTCTACAAGATTAATGTTCTAATCCTGTTTTCTACAAAACTTCAACTTATCCCATCCTATGATAAGAAATCCAGTCATTTCTCCTATGGATGTACCAAAAACAGTTAAACTTTCCCAACACATAGTCACTAAAAACAAACACGTTCCTGAGCAAAACGATAACTCCAACTTCCACTCTAAGTTTTCACAGAGAGTTGTTCGAATCATACTTACAGATGCTGACGCAACTGATTCCTCGGGCGACGAGGGACAAGATACTGTACGGAGAGTGAAGAGGCACGTGACGGAGATCAACCTCATGCCATCACCCAATTTGATAGTATGTGAAAAGAAACGAAGATTGGTTTCGCCGGATACTGACGTCACTCGCCGGAAAAAGTTTAGGGGTGTACGTCAAAGGCAATGGGGTCGTTGGGCAGCAGAGATTCGGGACCCGACCCGGGGAAAACGGGTTTGGTTGGGAACCTATGACACCCCGGAGGAAGCAGCTATCGTTTACGACGAAGCTGCTGTTAAGCTCAAAGGTCCTGACGCCGTTACTAACTTTCCGAAAGTATTAACGGCGGATATAACGGAAACGGAGTCTGTTACCGAAGGTGGAGAGAAAAGCGAAAACGACGTCGCTTTGTCGCCTACGTCAGTTCTCCGTAACGATGATTTTACGCCGTTTGACGATTTGGGATTCTGTGAAGTCGACGCTTTTGGGTTTGACGTGGACTCCCTTTTCCGGCTGCCGGAATTTGGGATGTCGGAGAAATACTACGGCGATGAATTCGGCGAGTTTGACTTTGACGATTTTGCTCTTGAAGCTCGATAGTGTGGGCTATTTGGTTGTTTTAGATAAAAATTGTGGCATTTTTGTAAATTGAGTCATTGGTGATGGTGACGTGGCATTTTTGACGGGAATATAAGGTGATTAGTAGCCGATTTATACGGCGATTTTGTGAGAAATTTTTGTACCTTTTTAAAATGTTAACATGTGATTTGTGAGGGTCAATTATGTAGTATGAAAATTTTGTTTGGAGAAATAGAGTTAAACTAGATTTTGTTTGGAGAAATATTGTTTTTTTATTCCAATAAAACATAAAACAAGAGACAATTGTATTTTCTATTACGATTGGATTTGTATTTTAAAGTTTTGCAACTTGAGGGTGAGGGAAAAACATAAGTTGACTATAAGTTGCACTCCTTTAGAATTGGCATGGATTTTTATTCTAATTATTGTTTGCTATGTGATTAAGCAAATCAGTGACACAAGCTAGTATAATTAGTCTTTTTACTCATCTTTTACATTTTATGTGATAATATTTAATTAAATATGGAAATACTTTTTTCATCGGTTGTCCCACGAAGGGACTACACATCAATAAGATTCAGCACAAACATTTTCCTTGGTGCTCTATTTTTTCAAGTTGTGGCACCCTACTGGGACACGTAGCTAGAAACGAATAAAATATTATAATCAAATTTCTTTTATAATAGTCTAATATGTTTTGATAATTCTTTTCGTTGTTATAGTAAAGTACTTTAATAAAGAACATGTAATATAATATAAAGCGCAATCAAATTTATTACACAACCACAAACTCTCGGCGGCTAAGGAATACCAAAAATAAAAAACTAAAATAGTACTAAGAAAAAAGGTGGGAAAAGGAGATAAAAACGAGCAACAGGATTCAGTGGGGTCTAATAGTTGGTGACCAAATAGATCCGAAAGCAACTATACATAGCCGCCTTCCACTAATAAGTACTCCACTTGTTGCTACTTGTCTTTACATTTGGACCAATTACAAAAGGATTTACACTTATATTATGGCCAATATAAGTATTTTTCACACGTCATATAATTTGATTGTTGCAATAGAGTATTTACCGTCCGTCCATAGCAATCATCATTTATAACATTACTTCAATATGTTTTTTTGGACTTAAATTTTCATGTTATGTTATAATATACATTCCCTATAATAACACTTCACTATAAAAATAAAAAAATATCGAAACAGGCGAAGTTGTTACATAGATGTTTGATTATGCTTTATTTTTTAGGTAATTCAATCAGCTTATTTAAATAATTACTTATAGTTATCTTTTAGATGATCTGACAATATTAAAAAAAAAATTAAAGACTGACTTTTGTCTAAGAGGGGCCATTAACAAATTTCCTAGTAGACTGATTCAATTGATCATATAAGCAGGAAGGAGCTTCTGCTTGTCACATTAGATGTGTCCTCTTTTTGTTATATGCACTTCACCTTTACTGTAGTATTTTTTTTTATTTCAAAATCTTAGGTACGAAAATGACATCTTGGAGAGGCTATTATAATGGAGTGGTTATCAAGGTTAAATCAACCCCACTTCTACTGCTGAAATAGTTGCCAGAAGTAGAACACAAGGATCCTGTATTGGCCATAACCAATGTCTGATTCGAGTTATTTATTTAGTTTAAAAAAGGGCAGCCCGGTGTACTAAGCTCCCGCTATGCGCGAGATTCGAGAAAGGACCGAACCACTAAGGTCTGTTGTACGCAGTCTTACCCTGCATGTCTACAAGAGACTGTTTCCATGGCTTGAACTTGTGACCTCCTGGTCACATGACAACAACTTTATTAGTTACACCAAGACTCATCTTCATTTATTTAGTTTACCTATGTTAAAAATCAAGATTCCTATTGAGTGAATCATGTTTCATCTTTGTCTAGAATTTTGCAACATGACCAATTCCTTGCCGTTAGGGGCATTTTTGGATGATTTGACACTATATTGCTTTGGGTGGTTGTCTTTGTTTCTATAATTATTTGTGGTTCAAAACTATTCTACTAGCATGGTGTGTATACCATTGATAAAATTCAACAATTTAGACTCCATAAAGACTTGTAGTTTCCTATTGAATCTTCTCTTTCTTCTCCAGGTAAAACAATTCAACATTTTTCTAGGAAAAACTCAATTCAAACTTTTCCACTAAGCTTGTTATATTTAAGGAAAAAAGGGTAGCTCGGTACACGAATCTTTCGCTATGTGCGAGATCCGGATAACAGCCGGACCACAAGGATCTATTGTACACAGCCTTACCCTGCATTTCTGTAAAAGACTATTTTCACTGCCTGAACCCGTGACCTCCTTATTATGTTTAAGGAAGTCATATTTTTATGACTTTGAAGTCATCATATCCTCTACTGATTTTCAACTGATAGAGACAAGAACATATGCTATATCTCTGACGTTTATTACAAGCAAAATCAATGTTTCAATGGAAAATACTTACATGAACTCGATATTTACGCTATGTTTATCGAAATCGAACTATTTAATTAACTTTAAGAGGTCTAATTTAAAGTGAGAATACATATCAAGTAATCGATTATATGTATTACAAACGTAATTACAAACGTATTGGATTAATTAATTTGACGTAAATATCAAGTATAAGTATGTTTTTTCCCAAAACCTCAAAAAGGGAAAAATATGAAAACATAGTAGCAGTAGATTAGAGAAAAGTTAGCTCGTAAACAATATTTCTTATCGAATTTGATTGACAAACCGAAGAGATTTTGTAAATCCAGTTCGCAATTTTTTGTTTTTTCCCGGAAAAAGAGTTGATCGTGTTTTATGGAATAAAGCCATGATTTAGAGCTAGTTTCTTTAGGTTGAGGGGTATTTTTGACCGTAAAAGGTTTATTAAACGCACATGTCTTTTCCAAGGACCATTTCGTAATAATGTCCATTTCAGGAACAAAATTTAAACACAGGCCCAAAAAGATTGAAATTGCAAAAATATGATACTTTTGGGCAGGGGCGGCCCAACATCATCCGAGAACTAAAGCAAAGCCTTAATAAGAGGTTTTAATATATATATTATTTAATGAATATCGTTTTTTAAAAAATTAGACAAGTGAGGATGCGGAATTTAAAAAAAATGAGAACTTAGTTTTATTAAGTACAGAAAATTAAATGAATTTAACATTGATTGCATCACAACTGAAATGGGAGAACCCAAAAAATATACTTCCTCCGTCCCAACTTAAGTGACTCAATTTTTTTTAGTAAGTCCCTTTCTATATTTGGTTACAATTCAACTTTAGATTTTTCTTTTTACCACTAATGAGATGATTTCTAGCCCACAAATTTCTATGATTTATTTAAGATTATGTTTCAAAAGCCTTCCTTTATTTTATAAACTCCATGTCCAGTCAAACACTTTCATATAAATTGGGACGGAGAGAATATAATTTATGTAAGGAAAATAAATAATAAGTTAGATTATTAGATATAGTTATGTGACCAACTAATGAATAGAGAAATATATTTAAGTAAAAAAGTAAAATAAGATTGACAGATAACTATTTTAGTTATATTAATTAGAGGAAGAAATCGAGTTATTAAAAATTAATATGACAATAAAGAAATAAATTTATCAATAATAAGAGATAATTATATAAATAATATACTATTATATATATAAAAAAATAATAATTTTGGGCTCCTTAAATTTTTGGGGCCTAAAGCAAGTGATTCACTTGCTTTAGGGTCAGGCCGCCCTTGCTTTTGGGATGATCTTTAACTTTTAATCCCAGCTTGTTCCATAAACAGAGTTTTAAAGTTAAAAATTAAAAAGTACGTATAAATTGATCGAAGGACAATAATTATTAAACTTAAAAATTATGCCTATGAGATAAAAATTCAAAACCTCAACTCTTGTGTGCTTCACCCCAAAAGAATTCTTTTTATGTCAATCCCTCTTTTTGGAAACAGCCACAGGGGCCGAAAGTTCCACCAAGTTTTCATACGGGAAAATGATATTGTATAGTCGTTCTCAAAATAATAATAATAAAATNAAATTATACAAATTACATATACTTTTTCGGCTACGAATGTAATTAGTTTCTCGCGCAGGCTAAAAGTGAAAAAACTCATTCAAAACAGCCTTGCGGCCCAAGCAAGTAGCCCAACTAATAAGGGTAACAGAAACGCAACTCTCGCCACTTTCCAAATCCAAAAGAGAGAGAGAGAGAGAGAGAGAAAAAAAAACTTGCATTCTCATCGGCTGCGAAGATAAACGAATCACTCGATTGAAAGGTTAGCTTCTGATCTATTTTTTTTATTGTTTTTTCCAGTTCACTTGCTTTGAATTAATGCTTACATATGCGGTAAAGCACATTAAATTCATGTTCCGTTTACTTATTTTGTGTGAATTAATTCGAAACAAGCTGAATTTTTGGAGCGATTGTTACAAAAATTGTATTCACAATTGTTTTTGAGGATTACGATTGTTGTAGTTAGTGTTTATGTACTTTTGAGTATTTAGAAAAGCTAGTTATAAGGATTTAGGGTTTAGCTGCCTGCTATTACTCCCAATTAGATATGTGTTCGCTAATTTGTTGATTCGTGTTGCTACTAGCTACTTATTTTCTGCTTGTTTCTTATGCTTCACTTGCTTTGAATTTGTGCCTATGTGTGGATATTCACATAATTTCATGTTTCTCTGTTTGTGGGAATTAATTTGAAAAAAGGTAAATCTCTTGAGAAACTGTTAGAAGAATTGTTTTCACCATCGTTCGAGGATTGCGATAGTTTGATTAGTTTTATGTGATTCTGAGCATCTAGAAAAGCTAGTTATAAGGATTTTGAGTTTAGCTGCCATTATTCCCAATTAGATATATGTTAACTGATTTGTATTGGTTTGGATCTTAGTGCAGTCATGGCTGAAGAAGAGAATCAGAACGAATTGAAGGAGGAGGTGGCTGACGTAAGTCCAGCTTTTTCTCTTTCTCTGTTCCTCGTTAGAGTTATTACTGTTTGAAACTTTTGCATCATCTCTTGGTAATGCCTCTTTGTTTGTGCCTGCTCCGACTCTGAGAATAATAATTCAGGTGTTTAGGTCCCCACTGAGCAGAATTTGTTTGCTATGGAGAGGCTGTTTGAATACTCTTTTTAAGAGTTTTAGCAAAAAAGAAAAGGCACATTAAGTAATAAGCCTTAATCAAGGTTTTCGTTTAATTTTTATGTGAAGAATGTTTAGACTATTTTAAAAGCCACGTTATAGGTCAACTGTCTATAATAGACATTGATTAGTAATCTTAACAAGATGATAAGTACCTTTTACAAATGATTAAAGAATATCAATAGTGTTAAATTTTACAGGGTCGGAGTTAAATTTGTTTATCAAGATAAAGTGCTTAGTTTCTTCATAAGTCCATTGTTCACATCTTTGTATGAATTCTTCTTGTCAAACCTTAGATGTTTTAGCTGTTTTGTTGAACGCGTAAGAGACGTGACCTAGATATATTAAATTTCCTTGTTGGTACTTGGTAGTAACCTAAATGCGTAAGGGGAAGTTATAATAACATCATAAAGAATTTTGTAAAAACAGGATTTTATGATCTGAAACAAACTGCAATAACGTTGGAAGGAATATAAAATAAAAGCAGAAAAAGAGGAATACTTCCTGTAATGGGCTTCTTTCCTCTCTTTGCTAGTGGAACATAACAAGTAGCACTGTAGCAGAGACCTTTTCTATTCATATTTCATTTTAGAGGCAGTAGAAGGGCTGGAGAGCGATGTTGAAAATGGGAGGTGCAACGGAGCTCATCCAGGAATAATCCTTCTACTTATCTGCCAAAAGGAATATTTTCATTAGGTTTTGATGCTTGGTTCAAAGTGCATGTCAAACACCAAATGTAATGGCAAGTACTTAAAGGAAATTGTGGTGGCCAAATTTTATTAAACAATTAAAGATGCTTATAGGCTGTCCGTAGTACAAATAGGCAATTCAATATTAGCAGTTAACCGGCATCAAATGCGCTCTTTCTTCCTTTATGAACATTCAGATATTTTTCATCAATAGTTATCACTAAATACACAATCTAATGTTAGTAACTCACCTTCATGCTGGAGAACGAGTACTGTTATAGAATTTACTGGCAGCCTAAATTATGTTGGTTGATCTAGAGCCCGTTTGGATTGGCTTATTTTAAGTGTTTTTAAGCCAAAATAGCTTTTAAGCCATTTTATAATGTTTGGATAAAGTAAAAAAGCGCTTTTAAGCACTTGTTTTTAAGCTAAAATGACAAAAATAAGCCAAAAGCTAGAATTCCTAACTTATGGCTTTTGGCTTAAAAGTCACTTAAAACAAGCCCATTCAAACATGCTCCTAATTGCAAATATATCTAAAAGAGTAAAATACAGGAGGTTGTGCTTCTAAAGAGATCTTCTTGTAGCCTACTAGCAAGGACTTGTACTCTAAAAGACTTATTGCTTTCTTCTGTTACTTCTTTTTCATCTTTCCTTGAGCCGAGAGTTTATCAAAAACAACCTTTACCTTCTCAAGGTAGGGGTAAGGATGCGTACACACTACCCTCCCCAGATCCCACTTGTGGGATTGTTGTTGTTGTTGTTGTTGTTGTATTGGCACAGGGGTGGGTGTGTTCGCTTCCTCAGTAGGTTTTAGTCAGAGTTGTCATCAAATTGGAGATAAATATGGTGTTGGTCGTTTGCTATATATAACAAAAGCACTTAATTGATTTTACATCCATCTTCAGGTTGATATGTTGTTGAGATCATATTGAACCCATGTATGTGTGATTGCTACCTTAGTTTCATTATCTTTTCCTCCTCTCTTTCTATGCTATTGCAGATAGCACCTTTTGATCCTACAAAAAAGAAGAAAAAGAAGAAGGTTGTAATTCAAGATCCTGCAGATGACTCTATTGATAGCTTGGCTGAGAAAACTGAGAATTTATCTGGTAGGTGAATGTAAAAACTGGTTTCACCTAATTTTCCCCCATAATCTCGGGAGAGATGCTAGAGTATAATCCTCAAATCAACCGCCCACCTTCCCCGTTCCCATAACCCCCAAAACACACGCGCACATGTGCAAACATACTCTCCGAAGATAAAGACTACCGAAGAAAATGTGAACCTTTAATGTGATTTATTTCTCATTGTTTTGCTATGCAGTTTCGGAGGGCCTTGAGGCTACGTTTTCTGGTAAAAAGAAGAAGAAGAAGCCGGTTAGTTTTGCTCGATCCCACACGCAAAATATTGATTGATTTATCAGTGAATACCTTGCACCCTCATCTCATTTTCTGGCACTAACCCCTTCTGGAAGAAACACCAGAGGACCAAATGGTGCGACCAAAAGATTTTATGTTTATTAAGATAGGGGATAGAGGAAGAAGATGTGAGTGGAGGGATGACCGAGGGAAGCTCGAAGAGTTGGGGATGTTGAAACGAAAGACAATTGTTTGATTTCTTTGTTATTTGTACCTCAAGAGAAAGCTATTTCATACTCCCCGAGCGCCAAAACATGGCCAGTTTTATTATTAGATTTGACCAAGGGGCTAAAGTGCCACAGAAATAGTTAAAGGCTTAATTTTATGACCTGAAAATGTTTCAGTGAAATTCACTAAATTATAGAAGAGTTTCTTGAGATCCTATGTACCCATGAAACTATTTTAAAATTGTGCAGGCACACACTGATCTCCTGAGTGATGAGAAGGAAAGCATCGGCGAAGATGTGGATGGTGAGATCTTGCATTTTCAGCTTGATTGCTGAGTTTAGTTGTGGTAATATTTGAGATATAACCCGCTCTCTTCTTCTAGATCACCTTGGAGATGATGAAGCTGCTGGAGAAATTGTCCTACAACAATATCCTTGGGAGGGAACTGATCGAGATTATGAATATGAGGAGGTATTTTATCATTTTCTTGTATTCTTCTGCATATACCTGTTAAGAGACTTTCAGAGTGCACTGATTGCCCCTGATAATAGGTAGGTACTCCATGCATGAACTTGAACTGGGTAATAACGCATACCTGCCAACCTCACAGCACTACTCCAAGTGTATGGGGAATACTTGGATTTGTCTTATGCCCATGTAAACTTTCTCATGGTGAACTAAATAAAGCTAAAACATGTTTCCTTATCAAAAAAAAAAAGGCTTAGACAAGTTGAGTTCAGGGGCAGTTAAATCTGTATAGGTTCTAATGTAAAAATCTATGCTAGGACTAGAAGTAGATTGACAAAGAGGGGAGGTTGACTGTACCCGTTGTACTTCTTCCTGAAGAGGTGGCCTGCTTGATTTGCATTAAGGCACTAGTGGCATATATCTGATTGTCGTATCCTGGTGCACACAACCGGTTTGCTTTTAGGATTTTTGTTAATGGCAATTGATTTTCACTTTTGATTCTGCAGCTTCTGGGCAGAGTATTCAACATTCTACGTGAGAATAATCCTGAACTTGCTGGAGATAGGCGTAGGACAGTTATGAGGCCTCCTCAAGTTCTTCGTGAAGGCACAAAGAAAACTGTGTTTGTGAATTTCATGGATCTTTGCAAGACGTAAGTTTTTTGTTCACATGGTTCTCTTTCCTTCCTTGTAACACTTGCATCATTTTGTGTTGCCACACCTTCTTTTTTGATTAAATGTTTTATGTTCAGCATCATGGATGTGCATATTTTATTTGATTTTTACGACATGCACCATATGCTAATTTGCTTTAGTAAGTTAGAAGTTGTACACATTTTGGCACCATGCAAAGTTCCTCACAGCTCGGAATTGCTTGTACTTTGATATTGATGAGTAGTGAGTAGTGACCATCATATTCACCATATAAATTGTATATTACATTGCTACCTTTCATGACCAAGAATTGTCATCACTTGTTTTATCTAGTTAAGAATATGTAATTTCCATATAGACCTGCATTTTGATTTGCCACATGGCTTCGACGCTGCTTCACCATTTCTGATTCCCTGCTGCTGTGTTCTTGAGATAGGTAATAAATCAACTAGGCGGACTAGTTTTCAAACCAGTATTTTAAAATCTTGTATTCTTTAGAAAGTGGAATGTGAACACTTGGGATACCACTTTGAGATAAAGGGCAGCTCGGTGCACTAAGCACCCGCTATGCGCGGGTCTGGGTAAGGGCCGGACCGCAAGGGTTTATTGTACGCAGTCTTACCCTGCATTTCCACGAGTGACTGTTATCACGGCTCGAACCCGTGACCTCCTGGTCACATGGCAGCAACCACTTTGAGATGCTACTAAAAAATGCTCAAAATTTGTTTGACTTCCGAGATTCCAATTTATAATTGCACTCTGAAATTATCACTTTCTGTAAAAGCCACTCCATGCATCATAATACCAAAGTCCGCTCAAGCATCACACACTTGGCATGATGAGATTCTTGGTGCGCTGAAGTAGCCCTTAGCTTTACCTGTAGTAACTGGCTCTATCTACAATTTGTTTGACACAATTGTATTTGGTGGGAACATCAAGGAGTGAGTTTGAAGAATATAGTCTATTCGAGTTGATCGAGTTTAGGTGTTGAGTTTGGTTTTAGAAACTTGATCATGGTTTAAATTCTGATTCTTTATTGAGGTTGGAGTTTGAAACTTTTCAATGGTGCAAGACGTCTCATGATTGGTAGTAGTGTGTTAACCACTTTGGATATAACTAATGGAAGGTATCGTTGGTTTCCCAGTTATTTTTGGATAGAGTTATCTTTCTCTCATTGCACTGCTTGAATAATTGTTTCCTATTTATAGGATGCATAGGCAGCCAGAGCATGTTATGACTTTCTTGCTGGCTGAAATGGGGACTAGTGGATCACTTGATGGGCAGCAAAGATTGGTCATCAAGGGAAGATTTGCTCCAAAGAATTTTGAAGGAATCCTTCGGCGATATGTCAGTAAGTTCCTGTTACCGATCTGTGATCTATATGCAGCTATTCAGAAACGACTTTCTTCCTTATATTTTTCTTATTAATGGTGCTATATTATGCCCTTCTGCATCCTATGAACTATAATATAACAGCCTTCACTCAGCGACTTACTTTTGGTTTCAGATGAGTATGTCATCTGCAATGGATGTAAAAGTCCAGATACTATCCTTTCTAAGGAGAACCGTCTATTCTTCCTCAGATGTGAGAAGGTATTTTCTTTAAGAAGGCGTGATATATGTTTACTATCTGCATTCAATCTTACATTTGTGAATATAAAAGTATATCTTTGTAATTTTTGCTTCAGTATTTCTTCCATCAGATAATTTGAAAATAGACTGTGGCAGATGATTGTTTAGGTATTTTAATTTTTTAATTCCCTTCGAGACCATGAGATACAGTATGTGTACAGTGTAGAAACTGTACCTTTTTGGGCTTTCACAGATGCAAGTACCTGGTGCTTCTTGGCTACTTGTTAGGCATCCTGTGATGGAACGTGACCGTATCACATTGTCAGATCATACGCCCAAGTAATATGAGAGATCTCAGGCCTTCCACTTATCTGAATTTATGTTGGGTTTGCTGTTATTGATTGAATTGTTTATGCTTTTGATTTTGTGAGATCTGATCTACCCTCAACAACAACAACCACCCAATGTAATCCCACAAGTTGGCTGATCTACCCTCAAGAATATTATTATTTTTATTGTATAATATTGGCCTGAGATGAGCTTATATAGAGTAACATGGTCAGTGAGGATTCATATAGCCAACTTCAACTTGTTTGGGACTGAGGCGTTGTTTTTGATACCCTCAAGAATGCCTTAGTATTTCTCTTGTCTCTTTTTAACATTGTACAACTGCTTTTTACCTCAAAAAGGAGAAGGAAAATGATTGCTTTAGTATTTCCAAATGATCGCCTTTCAGGAGTTCGAAATTTTCTCCTCCCCCTTGCTTTATCTTTTATAAATTTGAAAAGGGTTATAGGGAAAGATTGAACTTTGGGGAACAAAGTAGAATTAAATTGTTTATTTCTGTTCTAAAATCGGTTTTGCTTGTTTAATTTCTTGCAGTGCGGTTCTGGAAGATCAGTTGCTCCTATCAAGGCTGGTTTCGTTGCTCGTGTTGGCAGGCGGAAAGCTGGGACTTAAGCCGGCTTGGGGAATGTTTGTTCGACAATTTCATCTTATAATCGACTTTGTTAAATTTTTGTATGTTATGCTTTGTGTTTAACCGAGAGATGATATTGACATGTGGTGCAACTTTGCTTATGAAGAGAGCTGATTTAGATTCAATCTTGTGTGATGTTGTCTTTTGCAATTCGTTGAACTACACGTTTCGATATAACATATAGAATGACTTGATTTGATGGCATAGCTTACCGTATTTGAAATCTATATATGACTTAAAGCTATATAAAAAAATAACCCCCGTCACATTTTTCTCATATCAAAGTATGAAAGATCACGAGTGAATATGTTAGTTATCGATCACTTTGATCTTCAGTTACTACCCTCTCCTCCTTGAAAGTTGATCATCACTTAAATAAGCCCGTCAAACATATGAGCACTTAAAAGTTGAGCCTTTGCTTACTGTAAGGGAAGAAAAAGATGTACTCAGAGGTTTGGACCAAAAAAAATTATGAGAAGGTGTAGGGCCATTGACAAACTCAATTTTACCTTTCCGAGACTTCAAATCATTTTATTTTTTGAAGAGGACCCTTCTAAGTAAAAACGAAGCTTCTGTAAAAGGCAAAGGGGATAATATTTGTTCAATGATTCAGTTGCCAATTCAAACGCAGACTCCAGTTTAAGGCAGATACACTGAATAGATTGAAAAATATTGAATTGGAATTGGATCAACTAAAGGTAAACATTGTCAAGAAGAACAACAATGTGGAATAATTGAACAGAATCCTTGAAGCACTAAATTGAAAGCCAGAGTTGCAATGCTTGATGTTGACCTAAGTTCTAAAGACAATCAGATTGAGAGTTCAAAAATTGGAGAGGGAAGTAGGCATACAAAAATAAATTGCTTAAGTATTCTGCTTTTCGAATTTCTGCAATATCAATTGAGGGTTAGCTATTTTGCCATTTAGCATTTGCAGATAATGGTTTTTACGTTTTGATGAATATTCTTTGGTTCGATGTCCTAAATTGTATTCACGGATATGTCAATCTGTTCTTGGGATTTGACTGGAAATCTTTGAATTGTAAAAGCTAACCAGATATTGAACTTTCATGGAAAAAAAGTTAAAGAAAACGCGCCAGGTAGGGGTCGAACCTACGACTTTCTGCTTAGGAAACAGACGCTCTATCCACTGAGCTACAGGCGCTTTTCATTCTATTTTGGTTTTAATGGATTTTACATTAACTGGAATTGCTACTCCAACCCCCTACTCTTGCACACCATTTAATCCTGATTTGTTAAACCCGTGAGCCCATCATAAGTGTATTTATATACATAGACGGACCTAAGATTTGAAAGTGGCGAGGCATTACTGTCGAATAAAAACTTGAGCAAATACTAGAGCTGGTATCGAACCCAAGTAGTACACTAGAAGTCAATTTATGCTTCCAAATCGACCAATGCAGCTATCTAAAATTTGAATCTTGGGGTACCAATTAAAATATATTTACTTGTTATTTTTTTTCTATTATATAGAAAAGGAAAAATGATCGATCAAGGGCATATATATCATTTTAGAAAAACTCCTATATTGTTTGCAATTCTTAAATGCAAACTGTCATTGATACACGTTGACCCCACATTTCACGTTGATTAGACTACTTTTGGAGAGAGTACTGCATGCAAATACTCATTTGGAACGTTCCTTTTGTCATTTGGTTTAGTCAACTAGAAGTTTCCATAGAGAAAGTAAACTTAATTTTTAAATAATACAACAACACAAATAAATATCGGTAAATATTTACAAGATTTTTGTATTTACCCATATTATTTTAAAGCAATTTAAAAATTAAAATTAAAAAGTTTTCATCTATCCACACTATTTGAAGCCGATTTCAAACTAGAAAATAGAAAATTTCATATTCAAAAGTAATTTTAAAAAGTATAGTTTATTAAATCTCAAAAGTTAATTTAAGTGATGAGATTTGTTCATACTGTATTAGGGAGCTATCTCTTATATGCTTAATTGATGTGAAAATTTAATTTACATGGTTTGAACTCATTCTTCCTTGATAAATTTTCAATTATCAATAAATTATCCTAAACATTATTTGTTATAATTTTTATATTGTTTCATTATGAAAATTACATATGATAAATCTATAGAAAAATAAAAATATTTCTCTTATCTCCTTAATTAAGAAAAAGATTAAAATCCCTATAATAATTTATATAGACTTCTATCAAATGTTTAATATTTTATCACCAGTTAACATCATTTTAAACGAGTTATAATAAAATATAATTTGAACTACTATATTGAATTACTACAATTTATATCATATTAATATTTATTTAGTGCATTTGGTTCTTTTGAAGTAGTAAATTGCCTCTTTAGGGATGCAACTCTCCTTGGAAGTTCTCTTTATTTACTCTACTAAAAATTTCTCTTGATTTTGTTGTATACAAGACATGAAATAAAATCATAGTAAGTTTTTTTCCATCTTTTATCGTATTGTAAAAAATGATGTTGTTCGTGTTAACTTTCATCAAGTACCTGATTGTTCCCACTATTGAAACTCTTCGAAACCAATTTGAATGTATTCAAGAATAGTTTACAAATAGGTTGGTAAGCTTTTTATTCTAGAAAATTTGTTAATATAGATGACACTTGTAACTTTAATGTATTCTCTTGTAAAATATTCAAATACATTGGGAAAATAATACCATTGAAATCAAATTTTCAATTTGATGTTTATGTTTGATATGGATGTTAAAAATGAGTATTATAGCACATAGTTTTTTATGTTAATTGGAGTAATTTAAACAGATTATAATTTATAGTTTAATTTTAAGTAAATTATTAAAATAAACTAATTATAAATTGTGATCCCCAATATCATTCTCTATCTGTGATTAAATAGATATAACAAGGATCGATTTATTTATCAAAAAATTAATTGAGCCTTGACAAACAATAATTTTAAGACTACAATGTTGGGCCCGTATACGAGCCTTTCCTCATCTAGTACAATATATATATATATATATATATATATATCTTTTTCAAAATTATCGGGGCCGATGAACCCTCTTATTCAAAGGGTAGGTCCGCCTCCGTTAAAAGCTAATTCAATTACGGAAGCAGAAAGAGATTTTTAGTCTGAAGTGAAAGGATAGTTTTGTGCACTATCCTGCACTCTCATCTTAATATTCAACTTATCTGTTCTGCACTTTTTTAGAATTAAGCATTCATCAGATTGAACATTAGAACAATAACGAAAAAAAATGCGTCAAAAAATCATCAGATTGAACATTAGAACAATAATGAAAAAATGCCTTACTCCCTCACATTCTTATGTACTGAAACATATGATAAATGCTTGACAACCCACTATGAACTTTGAAATGATTGAGTAAAAGAATTGGGCCTCTTGTTTTTTTTTTTTTTTTGTGATTTTAAGGTTCCACGTCCACAGCTGTGTGGTAGGTGCAATTCAAGTCTTAATTCGTGTCCTTAAATAAAGGGAAATTTTCATATATACCCATTTTTGGGCCACCATTTAAGTTATATTAAAATTACATAAAATTTAACAAAGTGTACCCCTCGAATCTGAAGTGGTTCAATCTTTTCAGTGCAACTTTAGAAATTAAATCTGAAGTTCTTATATCTTTCAAATGCAACTTCAGAAATTTGAATGTGAAGTAGTTCAATCTTTTCAATGCAATTTCAGAAATCAAATATGAAGTTCTTCTATCTTTCAAAGGCGACTTCAGAAATTCGAATTTTAAGTAGTTCAATCTATTGAATGCAACTTCAAATTTCGAATCTTAAATTCTGAAACATAAACTTGTTCTTCGAATTTCAATAATCCAATACACGATTCAATGCCCAAATCTACTCCAAATGAGCTCAAATTTGAAACATAACTTTCAAATATCATAAAGAACAAATTAAATCTCAACCATCAAATTGTCAGAACATCAACGAATTTAACAAATCTATTTTGCAACTAAGAAGAAGAAGAAACTCTAACCACAAAGAAGAAGAAAACATCAATAAAAAAAAGAGAAGTGTATGTATCTGAAGTTGTCCAAAAATTATGTATTAGTTAAGCTTTTTTTAAGTGGATAGAAATTTAATGTGGCACAAAACTGAGCGTCACATGAATATTTTACTTAAATAAAAAGAAAAACTACACAATATATCCGCTCTAAATAATAATAGCCGAAAAATATATAATTTTTGTATATTAATATATAATATACAAAAAGATACACACTCTATACATAATTAGTGTATATTTTTTATATATTGGCTAGCGGCTGTAATTAATTTTGGCCGACCGGCCAAATGCGTAACTTGCGCTTTTAGATACGTATAATCGATATGGTTTGAAAAATTTAAATTTATAGTACTTTAAATAGTTTCTAAGCATGTAAATTTTATTCCCAAAATTTGAAAAATTGATATCCGAATTTGTCCGAAAAATTGACTGTGTTGGCTCTTATATATACTTTAAATCTCAGTAGTCTTTTTGGACTGATGAAATCTTTTCTTTTGCAAAATTATATGTTACGATTTCAAGAGCAGGATTAGGTAGGCGTTTGGACATGCATTCCAAAAAAAATTTGGAATTTGGAATTTTACTAAAATTTCAATTAAAGATGAAATTATGTTTGGTTATAATTTTTGCAACATATTTGGATGTCTTTTTTTCAAAACCATAAAATATGATTTATACCCACAACTTATAAAAAATATCAAAACCACCCCAATTTGATTATCCTACATGAAATAAACAATCAAAATGCTATTGTTTAACTGTTATCATATTCTGCTTTACTGCAATACACAGAAAATGCAAAATCAATATCACATTTTTTAATTCTACTAATACACAAAGAAGGAATTTAAGCCAAAAAAGCATAAATATGAACAATTGCTGGGGTTATTTTATAAATTTTAAAAATACAGGGTAAAATTGTAACACTAAAAACTAGCAAATTCCCATTTTCAATTGAAAAACTGATCAGAACTTGTTTTTCAAATTTGAAAATGAATTTTCAACTGAAATTGGAAAATTTGATAAGAATGGAATAACCAAACATTGTTTTCAAAAAAAAAATTTGAAAAAAAGGAAAAAAAATTGTATGTCCAAACGGGCTCCT